TAACAAAAATCACCCTACTGTTCTCCACATAGACTCAAAAGAACGGCAGTGGCAAGCAGCTAAAGCTGAATGTAAAGAATCATCAGTCTCAAATGCTCTTGTTTCTTTGAACTTTGGTAGCCATACTGGGGCCGGGTCTAATGAATGTGCCTTGTCAGTTGTTCCAGTAAAAGTGAAGTTGGAAAATGGGACGAAGGTTGTGGAGACGTACGCCTTTCTTGATCCCGGCAGCTCTGCAACTTTTTGCACTGAGGCGTTGATGATGCAATTAAATGCATCTGGAAAAAAAGTGGAAATCATGTTAAAGACTATGGGTCAGGAAAGGCCAGTAAGTAGCTATAAACTTTTTGGTATGGAAGTAGCTGCTTTGAAACAGAATGAGTATTTGAGGTTGCCTGATGTGTACACTCAAAAGGTTATTCCTGTCACTAAAGAAGAAGACTTAACAAAATGGCCTTACTTAAAAGATGTTGAGTTGACACTGATAAATGCTGGCATTGGGCTGCTTATTGGTGTAAATTCTCCAAAGCACTAGAACCTTGGAGAATCATTAACAGTGAGGGTAATGGACCCTATGCTGCTGCTAACTCGTCTTGGTTGGGTTGTCAATGGGCCACTCAATCAGGGTAGTGAAAAGGATGAGCATGATGCTAGTTTTGTCCAGGTAAACCGCATTTCTATAAGACCGATACCGATACGTAATATCGGATCGGTCCATCTCTAGTTAAAACATGCGCAGACACAAACATCAGTTAGTCTGTAAGTGGTTGTTTTTGGGATAGCACAGAATGCACGGGGGGGTCTCAGCCTCTGATTGGATTCTTTAGAGGACGTGATTGATTGATCGATACTGTAGGACTGTGGAGTCTGCAGCTTTCCTCACACTGAAATGAGCACACTAAAATCCAGTCATTTGTGGAGACCGGCCTGCAGGGTGGCTTGCCTGTATCGCCCAGCAGATAAAATATGAAGGACTGTGTTCTCCGAGCAGACGAGGGAACGCTGTAGCTGTGGGAATATTAACAGCACTGAGCTCGATGTCACCAGTTCAGAAACCGAGAGCTGCATTCGTGCTGCCTCTCCCTTATGTCTCCATTTGAAATCCACTGCTGGAGCAGATGAAAGAGTCAGTTATGATTGTGAGGACTTGAGGCGCCTCACACAGAGCAGGATGTCATAAAGTGACACCGAGTCCACATAATATCTGCATTTCCAGTGAAATCAGCAGCTCCTTCACACGTCTGGATTCTCCTGTCCCTTTATCGCAGTGTAGATGCTCCCCCTGGTGCACACAGTGACTTTACAGCAATGGGTTAAACAGATGTGTGCTGATAAAGCTGTGTGAATGACTGAAGTGTGAAACTATAAAACAGGCTCGTCAGCAGCTTTGTGGCATTGCGGTTTCTCAGCATGATTTGGCAGTGAGCGCCTGAGCTCTGCTTCCTGTTTCCTGAGTGCCAAATTTAATCTAGAGTTGCATCATTGTCGTTGTCTCCAAACACATTACAGTGAGGAAGAGAGACAGACAGACCTCATGTTACAACTCTTTGTTTCACTAATGGCAGCCGTTACTGCCCGGGCTGTGTCCAAACCTGTGACTGTTCCTGTGGAGGCTTCTTCTGTGCTTAGTGAGAATGAATGAAATACTTCATGAATAAAATCTGTGCTTTAACAGGCTGTGCTGGGCCTGTTCTTACCTCCTAAACACTGCTGTTTGAGCCTGGGACATTTCTTTGTTTTAAAGGAAGTAATCTCTTATTTAAGAGCTTCTAATTCCATTCCAGATATCCTCCCCTGTCGTCTTCTTAATGAATCGCTCCACGTTATTGGGCCAGGGATATAGTACAGTATATTTTATTATAATTTACTTTTATTAAATGCTTCTGTGTACCAGCTGAAGCCTATTATCAAAAATGTCCTTGCATGTGTTTTTTAGATTGCTTTGGATTCTTGTGGTGATCATACATTCATTCATCTAAACTGGAGCATGCTGTTGGTCTTGAAGGCTCATGTCTGTCAGAAAGGCTGTTTTCTGTAGCCATCGCGATTTCCTGTGGTGTACAACGGGTCTCTGTTTTGGGTCCTACTCTGTTTTCATCGCACTTGCTGCTGATTTTCAGGAAGTTTGCTGATGACATCCAAATTTATTCCCCGGTTATTTTGATGTCTCTATTTAAGTGTGTACACGATATCAAAGACGGGTCCTGAAAAAAAAAATGATTGTGGTGCCCCTCTGGATGATTTCACTGATGCCCTTGTGCCTCGTGTTTCTTATTGTTCTCTGATTGTTAGAAGTCTCAGAGTGTTTTCAGAGTGTCCTCTTTGTACAGGCAGTGCAGAATTATTAGGCAAGTTGTATTTTTGAGGAATAAATTTATTATTGAACAACAACCATGTTCTCAATGAACCCAAAAAACTCATTAATATCAAAGCTGAATGTTTTTGGAAGTAGTTTGTTTTTAGTTTTAGCTATTTTAGGGGGATATCTGTGTGTGCAGGT